AAAAAAAAAAAAAAATTTTTTTTTAAAAAGAATTTCAAATAGGGAAAGAAAAGAGAAAAACTCACAATAAAGCACAGTCTTACTCAACGTCATCACCGCCGCCGCAAACCCCACCAACAACACCGCGGCCCCCTTTCTCCCCTCCCCTTTCGTTCCACTCCCCAAAACCCCCCAAGCATAAACCAAATACATCGCCGTCTCCACCGCATTCATCATCCCCTGCGCCGCCGTGAACCCGTTCTGCTCGTCCCACGCCTTCCACCCGTACACGTGATCGACGCGTCCGTACAGCTCGTAGGGCGTCCAGAGCGGGTAGTGCAGGGATCCGCCGGGCATGGTGTGTGGTCTTAGCAACACGTAGAGGGTGTCCCAGATTACGAGGGGGAGGGAGATGAGGAGCCAGAGGAGGGTGAGGCGGGAGGGGGTGGTTTTGAAAACGGACGGGGAGGTGGGCGTTGTGGTGGTGGGTTTGAGTGCCATTTTGGGCTTGAAGATGGAAGAATAATTGTGGAATGTTTGCGGTTACTGGGATGGATTGTGTTGGAGATGAATGAGAGAGGAAGCTGAGAGAGGAAGTTGTGAAAAGGTTGAGGAGTGCAATTCCGGGGTATATACAGGTCGGGTGAGAGAAGAGAATGAATGGACGGAGAAAATGGTGGTGTTTCAGGAACAACCCCTCTTTCTTATGGTTCCTTGCGGTTTGGAACTTGGGACGGAACCTGGAAGGGTGGAGGTTGAATGCTACGATGGTTCCAGCTTGCCTAGGGAGATAGGCCATTAACAGAATGGTTTGGTAGTTTCATGGATAAACCGTTAGGCTGGTATCGAGCTACTCCTCGCCTGTTGTTTGCGGGTGTTCCTGCGTTGCCGAGGAAGGCACGCCACTGGACGAGATACACGGGGCGGGTAACTGTGGGGATGGGACATGTTGAAGGTTCTAACAATAACCCGCAGTTATTAAGGAGAAGCACATCGCCTTCGAAGACAACGTAGGCTCAGGACCCTCAAATGAACACAGTTTGGAGCATATGAAGACTCGATAGGTATTGATTAGACAGTCTAAATACCCCTTGGACAATTCATAAACGAACGATACTGTCCTTTGAAGACACAGTTCCCCATGTGTCACCGGAAAGCTAGGTATAAGTGATAGCAGGGCAGCGTCATCCACTAACAGCCCGCTAACAAAAATACCTTGGCGTCGCAATGTCGCGCCGGGATCGGGGACGGGACGGGACTTTCCCCGAGACTTTCAACACCGCGACACAAAATACCACTCACCTGTCATCGTTCTGAGCCAGGGCCCCGAATAGTTACAACTTGGACCCGAAGAGGAATTGCGCTGAGGTATCATCATATGCGCGGAATGATACTTCAATGCGTTGAACTGAAGACCTGAAGTCCTCTCGGCGCTGAGTTGTGTTGTCGCGCCGCGATATTCGAAACTTCCGGTCCATGCTCTGAGCGCACTTAAATGAAGTGACCTCAAAGAGGTTCATTGCAGGTTGTTAAGATACCAAGGAAGTAAGGAACAACAGAAACTACGTGGAACTGGGCATTGAGTACAGAGAACGCATCTCCCGTGTATCTTCTCACGATTACATAAGAGGTAGTAGCCTTCCTCCTTCAGCCCCGCCCCCCGATAGGGTTACAGGTTGAACTGAGGTCAAGCCCTGCCTTGGTCTCGCGAGACACGCCTGTCTGTCCTTCATGATGATGGCTCCCATACCAGGAGGAAGCGGTTAGTCCCCGGACTGCGTGCCCATGAGGAAGTTTGTCAACAATCGCGATCTTTTGCTCTGCCTTGGCGACGTGGTAAGACACACCCTCACTGCATCTCACCTCGCCTTTCTCTCGCTTTCGTCACTCTTTCTTATCCAATTCCTTCCAGTTTCCATCTCCCCTTTTCCATCACCACCTTCCCCTTCTTGTAAGAGTTGTTATTTTCACTCAATATCTTCTAACTCCCGGCCCCTCAGATCGGAGACCGCTACCTCCTACAAAATCTTCGTCTCACCTGCCGAACGTTCGCCACCGCCTTCGAGCGCTTTCTCTTCCGCGTCTATATCCTTGGCAGCACGGAGCGTTTAAGGAATTTGATGGGCCAACGACAAAAGTATTCGCCGAATTTGAAACATGTCCGTCATCTTCATGCACGCAACCTTCTCGGCCCGTTTCTCAAAGACGCGATGGTTTGGTCCAGATTCGATGATGATGTAGAATGGGTTTTTGCTGAGAATATGTTAGATGGGCTCGTGAGTTGCTCGTAAGTCCCACCACCACTTGTCGAGCTGACTTCCGATGAGGACATTGACATGAAGAAACAACCCCTTTGCGGTGAATGATAGAAGCTGACATGTCGTTCATATGTTCAGGACGGACCCCTACCCGCTTCTTCTCAGATCCCTATCACAGTACGCACCCCGTCTCACTGTCCTGGATCTTCATTGCAACTGCGGACCAGGGATCGACCAAATACCCTCTGAGCTCCGTAGATTTCGTGGGCTCAAGGAGCTCAGCCTGCGCGATTTTCCGGATGATCTTTTTGATGAGTACGTTGAAGCCACCACCACGGTCCTGATCAACTCCCCTGAACTGGAGACGTTGCGCATAATGGCGCTCGATGGGGGTCTAGACTGGGCTCGGGATCCATGCTATGAATCGCAAGGCCATTGCATGTGTGGTCTACTTCCTCTCATTTGCGAGAAATTCGCAGGAAGAGGGAGAAAGGAGGGATCTGTGGACGGCAACAAAAGGGCAGATATACCACGTCTCAAGCTTCGAGAAGTGGCAGTCGATCATCACTCTATGAACCGGTTTATTCTCGATCTCCCGGATCCGGATCCAGATCCCTCTGAGGACCCTTCGCATCACACTAGCAATAACCAGAAACCTCTCTATTTGGAGAAGCTCACTGATCTTCAATATCTTGAGCGGTTACATGTGGAGATGGCACCCGAATGGAGCCACGCCGAGCGCCTTGATCTTATTCGCCTTCCGAATCTCACCCCCGATATTGCTCCACGACTGCAATCGATGACTATATCACCACCCTGTGCGCAAGAGTCCTACAGGTGGCAAGACTGGGCCATCGAAAACAACTTTGTTGAATACGCCTGTCAGGTTTCGCTAGGCAGGCTCGATAACGTCACCGAAAGCTCAGGACCCGTACATCTCGTATTCGATTGGACAAGCCTGGATGTTGCTATCAATGAGAGACTATCCACATTGTTTGGCCTTTTGAAGGATACTGCCGTCACTAAATCTCTCGAACGACTCGAGATCGTTGCACCGGGCGACTGGGTGAAGCTGATCCCCTCCCTAAAAGACACCTTGTCGCATCTTGGGAAGCTCAAGTATTTCAGATGTCACATGGCAGAGTTTTGTCCTCCTCTCTGCCTCTCGTGGGAGGCTGTAAAGCGCGATAAAACTTTCAGGAAGATGATGGACCTCGCAGAAGACTTCTTTGAGGTGCAACCGAGCCTCCTATTCCTAGAAGTCAACTCCTTTCTATACCAGGTCGTTCGATGGGGCCCCGGCGCCCGTGATTTTCACATGGTCGAGATCTTGGATCGTGAACGGGAGTGGGTCGCTCCAGGAGACTCCCCGTGGCAAGGGCCAGATAACAACGCCGTGCCTTCCAGAATGTTGGTATGAATGGCCTTTCAGGTAACGATATGCTTGCACCCTTGGATAAGCAAATTCAGCGTCTTGGGGAGTTGCTGTCTGTTCAAAACTCGTCAAGGGGTCCAGCATCCGATGACAGGATGGGGACACACGCATAAGTCAGACTAGAGAAAGGTTAAAACAATGAAGCATCAAAAGGCTTTGATGATTTTCAAAACGTATGAAGGTGTGACATGTGGTACGTGTGGGATTGTGTGTCGCTGAGATGATCAACGCATAAACGGTACAATGCAAGAATAAGGGGCAGGGCTTGGCAGATTAGCAGCGTGAGCACGTCACTAACAGTTTTGCGCACCAAACTCGGCCTACTTTTATCAAAGGCAGCTATCACCGGCACCAGAGGCAAGCCGAAAATCACGGAAAAGACACACCGTCGGACCGGTCGGGAAGACCCACCGGTGGCGATCTGTGAAATGAGGGCGTTCGGCGGTGTGACGCGGAAGGCGATGACTAGTCGTTCATGGACGGAAAGCATACGAGAATGTACGGGAACCGACGTGGTTGCCCTATCATAGCTCATGCGGCTGAATGACCAGATACGATGCGCGTCCATCTGGCCCCGATGTTCACCAAAGAGTGCTGAAAGGGAACTGAAACTGGCACTAACGGGGGATGCATGTAGGTATCTGTTGGCTTGTGAAGTTGAACAGATTGGCTTACTTGGTGTTATTGAGGAAGATGCACTTGCACCCACTCAAAGGCCCATCATTGCCAATGCAGGGCATCAATCGTCGTCAACTTAAGCCTGGTCTTTTTGTGCCTTGTTACCTTCCATAGCTTCTCTGGCTGCACAGCAGCTCAGGCAGTATGGAGATATGTTACACATACTGTCCCATCAGTTGTACACCAGAGGTCGTGCTTCTCCTTCGGGATATGTAGATGGCCGTATGATTTATGCTCTCTTGAGAAACGTGTAAACCTGGAACATAACTAGTTGCAACGAACGGGGGTATCCCATGTATACTAGACTAGATCGTACTTCGGTGTCAGGATGCTTGATTACTGTGGTGAGGCTAATAGATAGAATAAGTAAAGATATCAGCGAGGCACAAAGGTACACATGAGGATGGAAAGTGTTCTTGGGTATGATTCGATGTGGGGTGGCGTTCATAACACAAAATGTTGTGGGCATGTCACTGTGCCTATTTGGGACCCAGCCCCCTTCTGTTGGACCCTTCAAAGACCCCTATCATCGCTTTGTTTCGCAAGTACATCCACACTGCCCAGGACAGGACAAAGGAGGGTGTCATTGGGAGGACTGGCAATGCTCTCTTTCTGATTAACGAACCAATCAAGCGGCGTGAGGGAGCATCAAGAGTGACCCTGGATCAGCATCAACAACTGTTGGACTCCCACTGGAGGTCAAGGGTCGTGGAGGGGCCGGCTTCGGCTTCCACATTGTTATCACTGTTGGTGGGACAAGTGATAAATGGTGTTGGGTACGGTGCTATCGCTAGGGTAACAGCATGAGGATACGCTCAATACCTTGACCTGGCCTTGCCCAGTGGTGTTGCACAAAGCTCGATGTGAAGACGTCTGACAGAAAATATTGAACAATGTGATACGGAGGCACCTTCATTGGCCAAGCTAGGGTCGAGCCGTGGAAGAGCAAAGATGCCGATAAGACGGCATGGACGACATGATGGGACAGGGCAAGCCGTGCAGCGATATACACTAAACCAAGAAGTGGGATTTGGAGAGACCAAGGTTGCTGACGACATGCTAGCGCGACCAAGACATCGGCGTGGACGTGGGTAGGGTTTGTGGGTGATCACCGAACTCGAGGAAGATTATAAATATTTTGGCCTCTGTTCGTATTTAGCAATGTTGGTGGGAAACGGGCGCGAGAGGACGAGACCAACGCCATGTCTCGTGTCAGCGAGGCTGTGAACTGAGTCAGCAAAAAACTGCAGATTTGGGAATATCGTGATCTTTTGAGGAGACGAGTAACTTGCAGGCGGGACTCGAATGTTGTAGAAGATTCCGCTCATGATCAGGTGTGAAATTCCCCATCGGGTACCGGCCTACTAGACGTCGAGTTGGAAGATTTCCATGGAATTTGAAGTGTTGTCGAGAGGACAATGAGGGAAGAAAGGACAGTACGAAAGAGGAGAAGAAAGCGATGTGAACTTCGGAGTCCACAGGTCCTACCTACACTAGAAAGCATTGATGCCAGTAGTCGCAAGTCGTTACTTCCTCTCAGCCCTCAAGTTCCTTCCCTGCCAGCCCTGCCAAAAGCCCAGTCTCACTCTTGCCTATTTCCTGCGTGCGGCCTTCCTTCCCGTCCTCTTGGTGAGCCAGGCTGCATGAATGGAAATTAATGCAATTTTGCTCTTGGAGGCCTAGAATGGTTTTTTTTGGTTTTTTTTGGCGCATTTGTAAGTTGTTTGCCTGAAACCCACCGAGTGACGGGAGGTCGGCGTGATATCTCGATTGGATGGCACAGGATGGCTCCATTCTCAACAGGAGGATGGGCTGAATGGATGAACCTTGATGAACTGTTCAGCCAGATGTTCGTTCTCGCCTCTTTGACTCCACCAGGAGAAACATGCATTTCTCCTACGAGACGGCCATGTTTCGAAGTTGCTTCTTGGCTTGTTGATCAGGATGGAGGCGACATCTTTGTGAATTATTCCAGTCTCCGCCGGCGCCCAGCCCGTCACCGAAGTAATGGAAGTTCCGCAAGTTCCGGGACGGCGACGACGGTCGAGTGCCTAGGTAAGGCAACCAATCACTATCATGTGTACACTAGATTCGATTGGCTTTGGGGTTACGCATGGATAGAACATTCGATGCCTCGGATGTGAACAAAACCGCAGTTCAAATCCAGAAAAGGCGAGCTCGAGGCAAGTTGAAGTTTCCCTGTCACCCGTAAATCTGCTCTACACTAAAGTCGCTGCCGGTTCTTCCTCCGGTGCCCCTGTTTTGGCAGTATCAATAATCGGCCATTTTTGCTGCGGACAATGTTAGCATAATAACAAGTAACATAAGGCGCTGTACCCCTCTCCACCATACTATCTCTCCCCAACTCCAGCGTTGTTCTTGGAACCGGGAAAGAAGAAGCTTTTGTGTAATGCAAACAATTCAAAAACTCAAAAGCAGTCCTCTGTCTATTTCCCCTCTCATATGCTGGTGCCCTTTGAACTACTGCAGTGTCAACAACGTCTTCGGATCCTTACATGAAGTGGTCCGTACACTAGTGTACAAGTGGTGGTGATGTCAAGAGGTCTACACGTTGGGTGATGTTCAGTGCGGGTCTCTTGATATCCCCAGTACCTACTGGCCTCCATTAAAACCCCACTGAAACGGCGGGGCCATTGGAGGCTCTGGGACTCTCCCCGCTCGTCCCGTCAGTGCTACGCCGACACCTCCACTTTCCCCGATTTTCCATCTCGTCGTTCCCTTGTCCCACCGCTCGCACCGTCTTTCGCCAACCACACCGAATTCATCGCCCTTTGCCATCACCATCCAGGCAGACCAGGGATCCGCCATCCATCCTCACGATACGCGAGCAGCATCTCGTACGCTACACCTTACGGGGGAAATGGAAAGGCACAGCATGAAGCACAGCAATTCATGGCCGGCGACGAGGACGACGACGACACCAGCCAGTCAACATGCTCGCCGGCCGGCTAGGCGCCTCTCTCGTCGTCTGTTGACTCGGCAATGGACAGGTTGATAGGTGATACTGCTTCCAGTATGCAATCTCAACATGGCGCGGTTTGCCCAATATCGCGAGGCCTCGACTTTGATCCAGCTCTGTCAGCCCTTGAAACCAGCAAGTACACCAGTCTAACCAGACCACAAGAGGATGCCGTGCGCCTTCACACCGTCCAGGGCCCTCCAATGCGCTCCGATCTTCGCAGCCAATCATGGCCAGTCACCAAAGGCCCAAACACCAAAAAAGAGGATTAACCACCACCATCACCTCCACCACCTGCCCGCTCGGCAGCCCGTCATCTTCGATACCTCCGAATGCCGCCTCTGTGGTACTTGCGTTGATGGCTTCTGCCTGCGAGAGCTGTCATGCAGTGCTGGGTTGTCAGAGTTGTATGGCGATGGCCCAACGACTACCATAGTCTGGTCAGAAAGTTCCCGTCCCGTTCGACGACGCGACGTGGTCAGCCTCTTTATATCTCCTGCCAGTTGCGGTACCGCGAGAATGGGGAGAACTGGATATAATATTACATGGAGGGCCAGATTCCATCGTCGTCTCGGTTGCTCAACCTCCCAAGACTCTTCTTCCTAGACTCCGGCCGTCTGGACTCTTTGTGTTTCCAACTAGGGGCACGGAGCTCCGGTGTATGGCTGATAGTAAGCCTTAGCACGCGAGCGAGAGGTACGTGGACAGTCTTTGTTGTCTGTGTGTTTCTCATTGTCAGGGCGAGGTATCCCGCCGGCACTCCAGCTGGCCCCCTCTGGGACTCCTTATCGCAGCCAAAGTGATCGACAAGAGTCAGTCGATCGCTTCTAGAACGCCCACCCTTACCTATCATCCGCCACCGCCTATCCGCTCTGATCCGCTCTTTGGACCCTCGGACCCCCAGGACCCCAACATACCGGGGGCTCGTGGTCCGTTGACACATCCCCCCTGCTGGTCGCGTCTCGGTCGCCTGCCGCTCGCCGGACCCTCGTGGACCCCTTCCACACCTCGGGGCTCACCTTGGGGTTTATAAGTCCCCCTTGTCTCATTTCCTGTTTCTTTGTTGGGACGAGGAACCCTTACTGTGCCGGTCTTCCAAGCTGCAACTTACTCGCTGACCCAACATTTGTCAGACCTTCGTTTCGTCGTTGACCGTGTTTCGGTCCAACCATATAACCTTCTGCCACACCGACACGCCCTGACGGCTTTTCCTCCTTTTACCCTCGTTTCTCCTCATCTGAACCGCCTCCATCCGAATACGATACCCCCCATTCGATCGAATTCCAGCCAGACTTCAGTTACCCATCATGCACGGCTACTCGTCGTCCTCCGAGTCGGACGACGAATACAGCTATCGTCGGAACAAGGGAAAGATCCCGGCGCCCGCCAACTCCAACGATGCCAACAAGAAAAAGAAGAAGCTTAAGCTGCCTCCGCAGCAGTCCATAAATCGTATATGGAAGCGATTCAGCAACAAGAGATTCAACAAGGCGTTGGCAATCTTGCCATTCGACCCAGTCTTGCCGCCCACCATCTCCGATCGGTCTAATGAACTGCTCAGTGAGGGGTACGAGCGAGCTGCCGAAGAATGCAGGAGAAAAGTCAGAAAGATTATACAAGAATGCAAGAGGGTGAACACGCGGTACCGGGATCCCGGCTGGGACTTGGTGAGTAACTCTGGTTGGATATTTCCCCTCGAACCGTGACTGACATGCGGTTTCCTACAGGACTGGGATCTTAAGATGGAGAAGGGCCACTGCCTGAACAGCTTGGGCCGAACCAAGTTCGACTTGAGCGCGTCTACAATGCAGAACCCCAGTGCTACCGTGCCCAAAGCGGTAAAGCGTGTCCATGAGATCTACGAGAAGCCTACGTTCATGGCCAAGATCCTTGGCTCGGATGTCAAGCAGGGAAGCTTGGGAGACTGCTGGTTGATGGCTAGCTTGTCTGGCCTCGCCAACGTCAAGAACGGTATCCAGCGGATATGTGTTGAGTACGACACCCGGATCGGTATCTACGGTTTTGTCTTTTACAGAGGTATGCTTCCGCCCCCATGTCTGCCACCGAAGCGAGTTGAGCTAACAAATCTGCAGATGGCGAGTGGATCTACTCCATCATTGATGACAAGTTGTACCTCAAGTCACCTTGCTGGGATTCGCCAAGCATGCAGCGTAATTTGCTACAACAAATCGATCGGGAAGATGTCGAAAGGGTGTATCGTCAAACCTATCAGACCGGCTCCAAGGCCCTGTTCTTTGCCCAATGCAAGGACCAGAATGAGACCTGGGTGCCTCTGATTGAGAAGGCATATGCCAAAGCTCACGGCGACTATGCTTCCCTATCGGGAGGATGGATTGGCGAGGGTTTGGAAGATCTCTCCGGCGGTGTCACAACCGAGCTGCTGGCTTCCGACATACTCGACCTTGACGGGTTCTGGGAAAATGAACTCAGCAGGGTCAATGAAGAGTTCCTGTTCGGTTGCAGCACAGGCTTGCTTGACGGCGGCTATGGCGAGCGTGAAGGCATTTCCGAAGGGCATGCCTACGTCGTCATGGAATCAAGGACGTTGAAAGACGGCACACGACTCGTCAAGCTTCGAAATCCCTGGGGTAAGACCAAAGAAGGGAATCTGGGAGGGCGCCTGGTCAGACGGTTCCAAGGAGTGGACCACCGATGTCCAGGAGGAGCTCGGTCACCAGTTCGGTAGCGACAGCGTCTTCTGGATTTCCTACGAAGACCTGTTGCGTAAGTACCAGCACTTCGACCGCACTCGTCTGTTCCGCGACCCTGATTGGCGCTGCTGCCAAAGATGGATCGGTGTCGAGGTGCCATGGAAGCCTCAGTACAACGAGAAGTTCCACATCAAGCTGACTCGCGAGTCGCCCTTGGTATTGGTCCTCAGTCAGCTCGACAACCGGTATTTCAAGGGTCTCCACGGTCAATACTCCTTCCGCCTCCACTTCCGTATTCACGAACAGCTCAGACCCAACGCCGAAGACTACATTGTCCGCAGCCATGGCAACTACTTGATGGATAGGTCAGTTTCCATTGAGCTGCCCTCCATGTTACCTGGCAACTACAGCGTCTTCATCAGCGTCATCGGTGAGCGCAACACCAGCCAGCCCAGCATCGAGGATGTGGTCAAGCGGGAGTGCAAGAAGCGGGTCGAGAATGAGAAGCTCGTCCAAGTCGGATACGCTTATGATCTTGCCCACAGCAAGGCTGCCGCCCATTTGGAAGCTGTGAAGGCCCTTCGGAAGAAGGCAGACCAGAAGAAGGCTAGCGATGCTCGTCAGAAGGAGCGTCACCGGCTTTGGGAGAAGCGTCACCTCAACCGCCAGATCACCAAGAAGCAGGGTCGTAAGAACAACCAGAAGCTTGAGGTCAGGCAAGCCGCGCGCGAGGAAAAGAAGCGTCCGGAGGAAGAGCTCAAGCCAAAGGATGCTGGTGTTCAGACCGAAGAACCCAAGCAAGAGGAGAAGCCAGAGGAGAAGAAGGTCGAGGACACCAAGCCCGAGGAGCAACCCAAGAAGGTCCAGTCGGGCTCGGACACCGAGAAGCAACAAGGCAAGGATGCCGAGGTTGAAAGTCCTAAATGTACACCTCTTGCCACGCCTTCCGAGACACCTGCGGTTGAGAAGACCGAGAGCCAAGCTTCCGGCGGCTTGGTCGTCGACCTTCCCACACCTGACCCCACACCAGCAGTTGAGAAGACGGAAAGCCAAGTTGCCAGCGGAATGACCGTTGAGGCTGAGAAGAAGGTCGACCATGAAGGCGAGGTCCCTTCGTCGGGCAGCTCCGAAGCCTCCAGTGGTCCTTCCTACACTCCCAAGACCGACGCCTCCGTAGCCGATGTGGCGGACGAGAAGGACAAGGAGAAGGTCCCCATCCCCCCTGTTACCGACTCTAAGCCTGCCGCCGACTCCAAGGTGTCTGGTGGGCCTCCTGCTGCTGAGGAAAAGAAGGAAGAGGAGAAGAAGTCGGAGGAAAAGCCCGCCGCCAAGAGCAGTCCGCCCAAGAAGAAGTCACCCAACATGTACGTCACTTCGGACGGCGAATCAAGCGCCTCCCCCATCGAAGACTGGGAAGAGCTCTACAGCTCCGACGACATGACGCGCAAGCCGCGCATGAGCGCTCCTCCTCCTCCCGGCACCGTTATGGTCAGCAAGTACAAGGAGGAGACGGATGACGAGAACGATCCGGATCCGTGGAACGCCATCTGCGTCGTTGGGCTGCGGGTGTACTCCAAGGACGAGGACCTCGAGTTGCGCATCGTCATGGAGGGCGGTGAACTTGAGGAAGGCGGTATGGGTGAGAAGGGTGGTGTCGATCTCGACAACGCTCAGGCCAACGCTGGTGGTGCGCGAATCATTAGGAAGGAGGGTGAAGGCGAGGATGCGTATGAGGGCGATAGTGAGGAGGAGAGGAAAACGGGCAAGCACAAGCAAAGGAGGTACTCGGTTATTGTGCAGAAGGGTAAGGGTGAGGAGGAGTATGAGAGCGCGGTGGAGAGTCAGAAGGAGCCCTTGTAATGGGCATCATAGATTGCATTTTGGGTGCGCGCGCGTGCATTAGAGGAGAGCGATTGCGGTTGCTTTTTTAGGTTCTTTTTTTTGGGGGGGGGGGGGGGGTTATCTTTTATGCACGTGGACGGGTTCTTGGATATGATCTCCATCCTGTCGTTTCAAACAGCATTCACATGGAGGAAACACCGACACAAACTCACAACACGGACCCACGGTACTGGTATGGATGGATGGATGGATGGATGGCGTTTCTGGCATAATTTTGGATGGATGATGGGATGGATCGGGACGGATGTTGGTAATACCTCGTGTTTTGGTTAGCATGGCAGTTATTAGTGAGCTCAAGTCCACTTAATCAGTTTGCCCATATCAATCATCTTTCGATTACGATCATACATGCATGTGAACTTGGTGAAACTCGGACAAGATGGTAAGTAAGAAAAGGCGTCGGTGTGGTATCATTCTCCCAAAGATTACATGCAGACCAAACTCGCAACTCCTTCCATTTCAAATAACCATTCGTAAACCATTCCAAACAAAACATATCCGGGGTATTCTATTCTTCCATCCCAACCTCCATCCCTCACACGCACTTCAGCTGAAAGACCTCGCTCTCATCACGAAGTATCCTCCGTAATGAAACAAAGATCCCCGACCGCGCATATCAAACCTCAACAACAGTCGGCAAACTAGGCTCAAACTTTCTTCCCTTAATTGACCTTCTTCCTCCCCACACTCGCCGCCTTTTGGCCCCGAGTCGCGCCGCTCTGGCTGGTAGTAGTGTAGCGAACGTAGGCGAAACCAGCGGCAGAAATAAGAGCGATGATGAGGAAATTGCCTGTTTGTTTTTTGGTGTGTTTGTTAGCAATCATTCATGCACACTCTTCTTCAAGGTTCAACAGTCGAGCGTAGCGAGGAAAGAAAAAAAAGAAGAAAAAAAAGTGGTAGGGGGAAAGGGGGCGGGAAGGGGAGGGAAAACAAAGGGGAAGGAAAAAAAAAAAGACAAAAAAACGTACTAGCAACAAAACTCCCCACCCCGCCCAAGGTATTAGCGACCCCTTTGAACAAGTCCCCGAGAAAGTTGAAGAGGCCGAAAAAGAGGCCGAAAAACGCAGAGAAGATGGTGTGGAAGATGTTGTAGATGCCCGAGATGAGGGATTGGATGAGTTCCGTGATGGAGGTTAGGAGGGAGGTTATTGCTGTTGTTACTGCCATCTTCGTTAATTGGTATTGTGAGGTGGTTTGTTGGGTTATTGGTGGGTTTGATGGTGGTGGTTGTGGTTGTGGTTGTGGTGTTGATTGCAACTGGAGCGTCAGTGCAAATGTCGATGGGAAAGTATGGTAAGTGTGTGCAGGACAAGAAGACAAGACAAGACAAATCAAGACAGAAGTGTGCAACCCCACGAGGGGATTCCCGAATATTAAATACTCTTATTTCTACGAGCGCACAACATGGCAATGACGATATTCCGCTTCGTATCCTGTCCCGTTCTTTTTGCGCCCGGCCTACCATAGTTCCTTGCGCGCAAGCTGTGTCCCATCCCATAAGGAATCCACTACCATACACAACCAAACCAAAGTGACGATATCCCCAATGACGTCAGAGGCTGGCTTTTGTCCTACACTACACTACACAGAAAACTCCCAAGACATGGAACCTCCAAATGCAAATGCCAACGAGCCCAACTCCCAACACACCCTACCCAACAATGAAATGGAGATGGAGATCGACAATAACCGTGGACCGACCGGAGACCCTACGCACGTCATTCTCCGCAGGAAAACGTGTTTTTTTAACCCGTTTTGGTCCTTTTGGGCCAAGCATGGAAGTGATGCAAGAAGGGTCCAGGTGGATCTACTTCACCTGTATGTATAGTACACTGCACTAGCGAGACGAATGTTCCAGGCCCAGATATTGGATTGAGTTGGACGTGCAAGTTGAAGTGTCTGCATGCGATTGAGAACTACCGTACGGGAATATGGTGATTGGTGTTTTGATAGCCTGAGCGATGGATGTGTAAATACGACGGGAACTCCCCTGGAAGGCGATCATTACATACGCAACTGGACCCAACAACAACAACAACAACGATTTCCCAGGTTGCCCAGGGCACACGCCATGGATTGATGCACATGGAAAGTACCACCGCATCATAGCGCAAAACCATCAGGGCATCTTCATTACTTTTCTTTCTACCTAGGCAATTATCCAAAAAACATAGGCCGCGCATTAACTTTAATCATCACTCTTGATATCCTATCCCATTAACATGATTCCTCCGTGGGAATCAAAGACTTACTGCGCCTGCCCAATATTTTCAGTGGCAACCGCCTTTCCTTTTTCTTTTCCCTTTCCCCTGGATGACTCATTCGCGGGAGGAGTGCCGAGTCTCTCCGACATAGGCGAAGCAGCTTCAGCCCTTGCGCCAGCCATACCACCATCCTCCGAAAGCGGGCTTGGAGATCTAGGAGCATCCATTAAATTATCCGGCGCCGATAACCTCTGTTCGCGATTCGCATGTTCATTCACCGGGGGAACCTCAGAAACCTGAGAGACCTCATTCTCCCTGGCAGGCAGGTATAGGTATGGATCAGCATCATCCTCCCTTCCCTCTTGGATCATGGGCAAAAGACCAGGTCCGCCCGAGCTAGCAGCACCACCAACTGTGGCCCCATGAGCACCACCCGCAGCAGCAGCACCATCACCAGCAGCAGGACTCATCATCATCGGTTGCGCAGCATCACCACCACCACCACCACCACCACCCCCTGCCCCCTCCCCTCCATTATCCATCAACCTCTTCTCCTCATCCCTAGAAATATTCAGCCCCATCGTCCGCCTATCTTTCCGCAACACCCTCTTCCACAGCACACCCGCAACCACCAACCCGACCAAAACCAGCGTGCCAAAAATGACGCCCAAAGCAATGCTGATCGGCTTCCAGCTGCTCCTCATCCCGTAAAAGTAATAATCCTCGTCTGTGGGCGACGCGTCGTCGCCGTGCGTTAACCCGCCACCGCCGCCGCCGCGGTTGATGGAATCGTCGGGACAGTAGTACTCGTAGTCTGAGCAAAAGTACTGGGACTCGGGGATGGCGGCGCCGTATTCGGAAAATGGTATGATGTTGTCGTCTGACGAGTCGATGGATTTGGCAGAAGAGGAGGCAGGGGAGGCAGGAGAGTCAGTGACCCAGGCTGCCGGAGCCACAGCGAATTCCTGGCGGGCGAGGTCGAAGACCAAGTAGGAGCGGCGGAGGAGGGAGTTACCTAGGTTATAGTAGGAGGTGGTGCCACCGGTGGAGGTGGAGTAGGAACCGTAGGTGTCGAGCGTGTCGGCGTCGTCCCACGTTTGGATGCCGAAGACGCAAGTGTCGTCTGGCAGATCAAGAATCCTGGAGTTCAACTCGGTCGCCTTGTCCGCCGAGACCTGGCCGTTGAAGACACCCGGCTTGATGATCAAGTCCGGCGTCTCCGCTAGGAGGAGTGGGCCGCCCTCGCCGCCGAGCCGGAAGGTGAGGCGCGCTGAGGTGCTGATGCCGGCGGAGCAGGGGATGGTGTACAGGCCCACGGTGGTGTCGTGCGTTGCTCCCACAACCGAGGCGATGTTGCTGACGAGGTCGCTGGGCAAGAAGGAGATGAGCTCGCCCATGCCTATGGTGACGTCGATGGGGAGGTCGTTGGAGATCAGAGAGCCCTGCCTGCCTCCGTCAGGACCGCCGACGCGGAAGGTGTTGATGGAGTGGACGGAGACGGAGAACTTGCCGGATAAGGCGTACGGGTTAGTGGCGCTGACGCGGAGAAGGTCGGTTGTATAGCGGGACTTGTCGATGGCACCGAAGAGAAGACTGCCAGATGCTCCCTCGCTGCTGTCGAGCCAGATGCTGTAGGCGGGGGAGGAAATCTGGCCGGAGGAGACCATGCGGTCGAGAATGGTGGGGTAGTAGCCCTGGGTGCCGTCGCTGGAGTAGGAGGACCTGGTGAGAGTGTCGGAGTAGTTGTGCCCCAGTCCCAACACGCCCATCCACGAGTTGGATTGGTCGACTAAGCCCATGGGGTAGTTGTCGAAGGTGAGGTCGCCGACGACGAGTTTGTCGGTAAAGTTGGTGCCCCTTGCATAGCCAGAGAAGGTGACGGCGTCGAACTCGTCGTATCGTGAGTTCGCATTTCGGTACGTGGATGACTCGGACTGGTTGAAGCTTCCCCATACACACTTGTGAACATTGTCGCTTTCAACATCTTCGTTATAATAGTGCTGATAGTACTGAGGGTCGCAATATTCGGTGGTGGCGTCAACAACCCAGGTGTCGGTCGAGGTTGGCGATATGAGGAGCGAGAAGTCCTGGGGAGGAGTGCCGACCTGGGCTTGGACGAGGTACGGGACAACATAGTCGGATAGCGTCCTCGAACCGTTGTTTCCCAAGTCAAGGTCCTTCAGCTGGGGGCGAGAGAAGGGGAGGTGGACATAGCCATCGGCGGCACTGGCGACCTCAACAAGACACAGCGCGGCTGGCCACAATTTGCGAAAAAGAGCGTAAGGCGCCATGACATTGGCGAGTCCGGCGCGTGTGTGTAAGAATTATGGGTGAAAGAACGTCGTTGAATCAGTTCATATTGTATCGCTATCGTGAATTCTGCCGTTGGTGCAGATGGTGCGATTATCACAGAGCTTGAACACAAGACAGCAACAAAGAACAAACGGACTATTAACGAGAGGACGCGACCCAAGAAGAAGTGGCGCAGAGTGGCGAACCGAGAAGATGATGGGTTGAACAAAAGACCGAAGAATGTCAGCTACCGTACAGTGAAGTATTGGGAAAGGGGAAACAGAGAGTCAGTCCGTCGCCCAAACACCAGAACGGTGAGAATTTTCCAAGATGGACGGGACCGACTTGGGTTGTGGCTTCGGACAAATTTGAGTTTTGGAGGTACCATTTCGTCTTCTAGCGTAGGCTGCAGCAGGCAGATGTCCCAAAAGAGGTTAGATCCATTTGGACGTTCCCGTGTTGTAGTTTGCCTTCGAGAAGAACCTGGCCGTCGTCTGGAGGGTCCCAAAAAACAGCATCACGGTGAGCACACGGCCTGTGCTTGATGTAGGAACATCAGAGACGGGTGACCAATCCGACGCTGGACAGTCTCCCTTGAGGTGTCGCGTTTGACATTGTGGCTTGGGTATTTTGGCAAGTTTCAACCTTCGTATTGATGGATGGATTCATTGGATGCCGGGAAATGTTTTCGACTGGAGTGACGGGATGTAAGATGAGTTAGGTTGGAGACGGGGTGGGAGATCTATTGACAAGTCGGGCAGCGGAGTCGGGGATATAGGTAGGTCGGCCTGCAAACTCTCCACTGAGTCCAGGCGTACCTGCGCTAGAATATGTCCACTATCCCCGCGGTATTGCAGGCAGGACCCGCCAGGACAATCCCCACAGCCGTGATGGCTTCAAGACATGGAGGCGCAACGAAAAAACAAGACGCCGGGACGGGATGTTTGGATCGATAGAGGTGTCAATGGTATCAATGGGTATCTCGTTAGGGTATCTATTTATACTAGCCATTACATCGCGGGTGCACTATGGGTCACAGCTCCATCACCATGCCCCCTCGACCCCACCCGACCCGACCCGCTGACATCTCACCATCCCGTCGTCCATCTTGTCTCATAGTCCATCATCACCATCATCACCATCATCACCATCATCTCTACCTACCACCAAACCCTCCAAAATAAATAACGCATCCCGTCTAATTGTTTCCGATGTCCCATTAACGCCAGACCGGGATATAACCCCCTCCCAAAAAAGAAAGCACACAACAGCATCATAACCCCCGCATGATGATCCTTATCACGCATACCTCGGCGCCATCTCCCCCGTCCTCATCCGCGGCGGCTGCAGCGCCCCAGCATAATCACCATCACCATCCCTCTGATAAGTAGGCGGCGGCGGCGTCTCCTCGTACATAGGCGGCGGCGGTCCCTGACTCTGAGCATCGTTAAACCCGTCACCGCCGCCGCCGGTTGTCTCCAGACCTGCCGTTCCCGATGACGGTTGTTGATCCCCCGCATTTGTCGTTGTGTTCGTTCCTTCTTTCTTCCCGCGATCGCCAAAGCAGCTAAAGAGAAAGACGGCTACAACTATGAAGCCAACGATGATGCCCACGACGATGACGATGGGTTTCTTCTCCGGGGGGATGTGCCCGCACCCGTGAAGGTTCGTGCAGCGGCGGGGGAGGATCATGATCCCCCCGAAGCTGCTGAGGCTGCTCGCTGCCGTGGTGCCCCTGGGGAGTGGTGCCAGTTTTGGTGAGTGGCTGTGATTCTGGTTTGTGGTTTGTGGTTTTGTGTGAGAGCGTCACCACCCTGGGATTGGAGTGTTTGGTGATGGCAATGGTGGTAATGGTGGTGGGTGGTGACGGTTCTTGTGTGTGTAGCTAAGTGTCTGGTTAATGGTGTTGTCGCTTTGCTTGATGATGATGGACTGCCCAGTTGAGGTTGATGTGGCTTGTTTTCAGACTTGTTTGTTCGAGGCCAGGTGGGTGTTATTGGACTCGGAATACTCGATCCATAAGGTACGTCCGGTAGGAATTGAGAGAAGTATGAACCGAACCGATCGATATTGACCTCAAGCAGATACTGCAACCCATTCAGATGGAAGGCGGACACACAACACCTTTTTATCTATCTCCCAGGGCAGCCATCGTAGCATTTTACCCCCTTTCCATCGCGTTTCCCGTCGCCAGGAACGATCACGAAGCATTCATTACGGTCTGGTGGTGTTGCAATGGTGAGTGGTAGCGCATGGGCGCATTCAGGTACGAAAAAGAAGAACTGCGCCTCTCTTAGTTCATGTTGGGGACCCAGATCTTTCAACCAAACACCAAACATTAAGAACTTCTAGTTCTTCCTCGTTGGTAACTCACTGGGCCGACATTCGACCTACTATCAAGTGACCTTTTTGAAGGGGGCAGGGGGGCTGAGGCCTTCTCAAAGACCAGGCCGCGGCCCCAAGCGACGACCAAGGGGGAATAGCGGGAATAACGGCATGGAGGATTTAGACAAGGGGGTCATTCGGGGTGATCTGGAAGGCGGATTGGAATGTTGATGGTTGGATGTCATGAGCCACGGTGGGTATTAAGTAGGTTCCGCACGCACTTGAAGGCTTCTATTACGAGTACAAGTGATGCCACAATTATCTTGAAGAGTCTTGACTAACACGGTTGGGATTTCGAGTTGATGGAAAACAAAACGTTTCAATCGCGAAAAGGCACTTTGAGTCCAGCGTTAGGCACCTGTCCAGGCACTGCAGGGCACTGCAGGGTCTTTCTTCCCCAGGAAGGCCCCTGCAATGCGAAGTACCTTGCATATGCTCATGGCTCGGTCTACCTCATAATGCAGGCGTAGAGAAATCTTGGTCTTTGTACTGACGATTCATTTTTTTAACAGATGTTTGGATCTGCAGGACTGTTAATGAAATCGAAACCTTTGAGTGGGAAAACTATGCTGGACTTTGACTCGATTGTTTATTTGTTATGGAATATTTGGTTGTCAAAGTTGGACTGCGGAATCCCGTCCCCACCCGTGCTGTGCTTTTTGCATGCCCTCCCTCACTTACAAGAAGCGTTACCACTAACACAGCCAAGGGTTAGGGGTCAAAGTGGTTGCGAACGAAGACTGTTGTGATCGACGAGTGAACGACTCGAAAGGATATATCGCATAAGGGTATGTTGATAGATATAGTACATGGTGGAATGTTACAAAAAGATATGTTCTCTATGAGGATATCGACGAAGAAGAAGAAGAAAGGAAAAGGTGATATCCCAAGTACCTGAAAAGCCCGTTTTTTCCTCCCACGTTTCCATCCAAATCCAGCCATTTGTCGGCCCCCGACAGACATGTCATCATAATCGTGATCCTATTATTACAATTACCCAAAAGCGCCGCCTTATAGCAGATATCAATTCATCCCCTATAATACACACTCTCCCCATGCCATCCCACCCCGGTTCATTTACATGTAGTTCCTCCCACCACCCTGCTTATAGACCGGCTCCGGCTCATACGGCGGCGGCTGATAAGTCCCCGGCTGCACCCACCCTCCTGCAGCAGTTTGAGGATTATTGAGTCCGTTCGGATTCTGACTGTGATACTCATAGGGGTTTTGCGGCGGTGGTGGTTGATTGTGCGATGAGTGAGCCCATCCTCCAGGGGCAGCCGTTGCCTGCTCCATGTTCTGGTGCATGTTTTTGCGTGACCGACGGACTCTCCTCCTTCGAAAGAAGATGGAGGACAAGGCGAGGAGGATGCAGGCGACGACGATGGAGACGATTACGCCGATGAGAGCACCGCGCGAGAGACGGCGTCCGTGAGGTCGGTAGTAGCGGGGGAGCAGGTTGGCGAGGGCTTCGCTGCTGGAGGAGAGGGATTTGGCGATGATGGTGGACGGTGTTGGTGCCATCTTTGATGATGCTTTGTCTCCTTGGTAGGAGTTCAAGTCGGTGGGCTTTCAATGTTGATGGTTTTTTGATGATGGAGAATCGCTCAAGTTGAATGGTTGTTTGAAAGCGGACTTGCTGCTTCTGATGTGATCGCGATGATTGGAACTAGACGAAACCTATCGATGTGAGTTGGATCGTGTCTCTTTTATTCACGTCGTCCAAGTAGTGTTACTTTTGCTTCTGAGAATCATGACCGCATTTGCAAGGACGCGGGCCCCATGACGTGGAGCGGGATAACTGGTGTTGTTGGTGGCTGACACACTGCCGCGATGTTGGGTCGCCACTCGCCAAGCCGTTATGATGATCAAGTTGAACCCCTTCCTATAAATCATTGGAATACCAAACCTGCACGAACACGGACATTTGGGGCAATTTGCTTGGCTATATCTTGGATCAGATATCGGCAAGCTGACTCAGGGAACCAAGCTAGCACAGTGTTAGTTGTGTTGTAAGAGAAGGTTATGTCATCCTCACCAACACTGCCCGAATATCAGCTATTGGAACTGACGTCCATTAGTATCCATGTAAGGAATCCTGACTACAACTCCCACTGACCCGATCCAAACTTCAACTGCACCGGGGACACGGCAGCTTGAGTGGTGATGATCGATCGGATGATGTTGAGTGGGTGCCAGGGCATCTCCACTAACATTCAAGCTTAAAAGTCAGTGGAGCTGCCTTCAGTCCCAGCATCTCAGCTCATCCCGTCAGCATCTGATCCCCATCGTTGCGACGAAAATTGATGTAGAAAGAACGCCATAAGATCACGGAAAGGTTAAAAAGTAGAAATGTTGCGTCGATCTGAAAATATGAGCCCCTGTGTCAAGGAAAATCGGGCTTGCTACCTATTGCGTACTGTGTAGGTCCGGTGACGAGGTTCGCGGGGGTTAGACGTACCTGCGCCTTGCTGGGCTGTACCCCCAGTCGGTCGGGCTGT